TTTGGTATTTGTGAATCTTAAATATATTCATAATCTGCTTTACGTTTACCTGGCACTGGAAGTCCTTTCACAAACTTGTAACTTTCATTCTCAGAGCAGAACCATACATAGTTCATTTATATTTCTACATGACTCCCTGCAATACAACTCTGATTCTTCAGTCGCGCCATCTAGGGGTCTGTTATTGATACAACCACAACTTCTACAACTGATAACGGAGTGCTCAAGCGGGTACTGCGAGTCATGTTGAGGTAATTAAAATGTCAAATTAATGTTTTGCGCTCAATTGTTTACTTATCAGACAAGTGGCCGCATGATAAGAGGGAAAATTACACAGTGTAGTCTTTATCACCCTGCAGAGGTTTCTTTTGCAAAATAATCTGCTGACTGTACACGATCCCTCAGTTTGGGAACCACTGGAGTAGGCGATTTGTGCTCTATTAATTTGGTCTGTTACGATGCTCTGTGTTTGATTACTAATGTCTGTGTAGTACGGCGTTGCACACAGAGGACAAAGACGTTCAGCCTCGACTGTTTATCGTCATTTGTGTTAAAATTTGCAAAGCGTACCAAATTTAACAAAACAATATAAATGCAAAATTTGACGTTTATAATTTTGTTCAGTGTATATAAATGCAAAATTTGAATTCATGAATATATAACGGTATCCATGGTATAGCAAAATCCATATCATGGAACAACATAATACCGGTAGTCACTTTCATACCGGTATAGCGCCCACCCCTACTTCAGGATACATCTCGCTTGAATGGCAGGGCATTATATATATATACATATATAAATGCATCATTCATTCATATACACGGCAGCAGGTCAGGCTGCAGCCTCGTTGCACATCATGGCGGTGCTTCAGGCTTATCAGGCTGATCTGCTGAAAGACCTGGATAAAGGTCAGGGTCTTTCCCCTGATGAGGTGGCTGAGTTGCGCCGCACCACAGATCTTGCTCTCTGTGCCACTAAGCAGGCCGCCACTGCAATTTGGCAGATCCATGGCAGCCATGGTGGTTACGGAGAGATATCTGTGGGTGAATCTGGCAGATATCGGGTCGAAAGAGAAGGGCTTTCTTCTTGAAGCACCAGTTTCCCCTTCTGAGCTTTTCGGCACTTCCGTCGAGACGGTGGTCGAGAAGTTTAAGGAGGCCAAGACGCGCTCGGCTGCCTTCAAATCCTTCATTCCACAAAGGTCCAGGTCTGAGCCCGAACAACAAAGGGGTCCTGGACCGTCTTGATCTAAGGATCAAAGGCGGGCTCAGAAGACTAGTGTCGCGACTCGCGCCCCTCCCCCACCTGCGGGTACGGTTCAAAAGGGGTGTGGGTCTAAGTGTGTCAGGTAAGATTTGAGGGAGGTGATCCTGACTAGGCATTCTCAACGCTCTTGTCTGGATCAGAGTAAAACCTGAGCTACCTACTCACCTTCCTCTGAGAGTATTACATCTGCTCTCATCTTCCTCCCCTTAATTCCCCTAAAAAGCTTCCCTCCTGACTGAGGTTAGGTAGGAGCCTCCTGCGCTTGCATTGCAGTCTCTTATGCTTGGCCTATGATGTTTTGTTCTCTATGGCTACGTTCACACTGCGAGCCTTAGTGCTCAATTCCGATTTTTTTCTCAGATCCGATTTTTTTGTATAGCTGTTCACATTGTTGTTTTAAATGTGGCCAATATCAGATTTGCAGTGTTAACAGATCATGGTTCTGAACTGACCCGCATGCGCAAAAGAACGATACGAACAGGGTTTCCAGATATTCAGAACAAAATCCGTACAATTCTTTCTCAAAACTTGTCCAAAACTAGCCCAATCATGTTCAGGGAGGTTAGTGGGGTCGCGTCAACCCACGAAGTTGAAAAACATCCCACGGCAACAGAGGAAAAAATAGCCCAATTGCGTGGGGAAAATGTGGATTTGGCAACACTTGCGCAGTGCGCCGTCATACGCAAGTAAACATGGAGGATGTAAAGTAAGCGATTATGCATTTATTTATAGTGTGATCTGCTGCAGAAGCCAGCGAAATTATGCACAGGCAATATGAAAAAAATGCAGAGTTTTTCAACTTTTATGATACAAGCCCTCATGTTTTGCTTGTAGAGTTGTCACTGTAATACACATAAGTTCTGACACATCACACTTCCGCTGATCACCTTTCGCTACTGTCTTGATAACTTTGGGTATGTAAAATCTTTGAAGTGTCTACCGTCAGCGCGGAATTATGACGAATGTCGATCTTAAAGCCGCATGAAATCCGACATGACCGTTCACACTGCGGTCGCATTGCAAGACATCTAACATGGATCGGATTTAGTACCACACATGGAAGTGGCACAAATCAGAATTGAAAAGATCAGATTCCATGCGGTTTGTGCTGTTCACACTGTCATGACAAAAACAGATCTGAGTCACATGAGAGCAAAAAAATCAGATTTGGGCCACATTTGCCTGCAGTGTGAACATAGCCAAAGTCTCATAGAACTACCTACTGATGGTTCGGACCCCAGTGCTCTTCGGACTTCGCCTCCAGCGTATATCCATGAGCCTGAGTAATGCGCGGGAGCCATGGTTGGTGAGTACGATCCATTTCATCTACTCTACTGCTAGTTCTTGTGTATTTGATACTAGCCTTTTTCTGCAGCGCTACTCTGAGCTGTGTTGTTTTCTGACTTTTAGGTTTAACCCCCCTGTTAAGTCAGGACCTCCTGCTGTTGACCGATTACAGTGATGGTTTCACTCATCGGTACTGGATCCAGGCTGGCGATAGCCCTCACCTTCTCGTGGGCTAGTACTCTTCTGAGTACATGCTTTGTGACATGCTCCCTATCCTCTGGCCAGGGTGCGCTACTCATTTCTCACCCTGAGGGGTCTCCTGAGATTTTAGTCTTTCCTTAACCATCATGTACGTTCTCTGAGCTAGAGCTCCTCTCGCTGAGGCGTTGACTTCATAGATGGTCAGGCCCGCGGGTCCTCCCTGTCTACTGCCCTTATGGTTGAACCAGTAATTGCCCCTCTGCAGAGTGGGCTTGAGTACACTGCGTTCTCTGAGGTAAGAGGGATTTGTGTTTCTGCGAAAACCCCTCTTGTATGCTTCTGTTCTGAGGAGCAGTAAGCTCTGTACGCATGAATGGTTATTGGGTCCCGCTATTTCTTCAGATTCTATCGGGTCTGGTTTTAAGGGACCCATGCTCTCTATCGAGCATGAGACCGTGTCCAGCTGCACCAGTGGCCTGTCTCTTATTGGGCCCTGCTGGGTTACCCCTTCTAATCTAGCGCCTCCTTCTGGTCGAGCCGAGAATTGCTCCCCTCACTGTGAGGGTTAGCTATGAGTCGCTCCCAGTATGTGCTGTAAGGGCCCGCCTCAGCTTGAGAGCCGAGAGCGCTGCTCCCGAAAAACTTCATTTGCAACGAAACTGAGGCCCGTTTCTGTTGCCTCCTTGGTCAGTTGCCTCTATGCCGGGACCCTGTTGTTCTCTTTAGGAATGTGTGATCCCCTTCTAGCAGGATCCCATTTCAGATGTCACATTTGCCATCTATCTGCTTCCCGGACATGGCTGTGCTCCCCTCACTGCGGGAGGGTCCCCTTGAGCTCGCCGGTCCTGGGCAGACTGGGTGAGTCCTCCTCTCGACTTGAGAGATAGGTTCTCTGACCCTGGGCTATTGATCGCTTCGGTCGAGCTGGGTTGCTCTCTCTCCTCGCTAGGGGTTGAACCCTCAGCTCTCGAGCTCCGTGGCAGTGACATCAGGTAGTTAGGCCGCTTGCTGCCTCCCTGATAAGCTGCCTCTATTTGGGTCAAGCCAGGCAGTGCTCCCCTCACCCCGGAGGGTTGTCTTTGAGCCTGCCGATTGAGCATCTGTGGACTTCTCTCATTGAGTCCTCCGCTCGTTTGAGCTCCATTGAGTAGCGGCCTCGGGTTGTTAGGCTTCTCTCCACCTCCCTGTTGAGACGCTCTCTTTGTGGGTCGAGCTTAGCAGTGCCCTTGGGGGTTTCATGAGCACGCCCCTCTTGATCTGAGCGTTCGAGTCCCCCTTCTATTTTTGAAGTTGGGCCTCCGCTCTTTTGAGCTCCGGATACCAATCATGACAGGCGGCTGGACCATCTCCTGCCTCCCTGGCGTGTTGCTTGTTAAGTGAGCTAGCTGTGCTGCCCTCACCATGAAGGGCCACTTGCAAGCGCGCCGTTCCCTATCTGGGCATCTCTGAGCAGATGCTTCGGATTCTGTTCTGTGAGCGTACCACAGTCACGTTAGGGCCCCTAGGCTGGTTTAATACAGCCTCGGTTACCCCTTAAGCAACGGTGTTTCTAAATCAATGCTATGGTATGTGCACACGCTGAGCTTCTGTGCACTTTCTAAAATCCACATTGTGGTAAGTGTGCATGCTAAACTTTCTGTGCACTTTCTAAGTCCTGTATGGTAAGGGTTACGCGCTGTCAGCCTCGTTCTCTTTCTCTGAGTTGGTTTAGGCACCGGTTCTCGCATTGGGCTCCACTCAACTTATGTATCTCTGTTGATACATTTCTGAGCAGGGTGTTGCCACCAAAGATCTGTCGAGTCAGTTCTTTGAGCAGGTTTATTCAGAACCAGCGGTAGCCCCCCTGGGTGGCAGGCCAGGGTCTGGTTTGGTTTTTAGACACCTGGCCGTATACCCTTAAAGGAATCTCTTTCTTCTGTTTACAAGCCTTGAGCTTTGTCCTAGGCTTGGGCTTCCTAGCCCAGCCCTTGACAGGTAAGTTCTTTTAGGGTATGCAGCTCAGGCCCTTGGCCGAAGGGGATAATGTCACTGACAGCCGTCAAGATGTCCTTTGGGGCAACTCCCATGCCTATGGTAGAGTACTTAGTGCTCACCGTGGTTTCTGGCATGCACTTCCCCCAGCACTCCGTGGGTATACCGTTCCCCATAACGACCCCTAGAGGACGCCGTTCAAAGTTCTCTCGAAAGGGAACGAGACACTGCGTCCTCTAGTTCCCTTGCCATGCTTCGGACGTAAGCTTCAGACGAAGAAGCGGATGACGTGTGCTCCCGGCGCCCTCTTATACTTTGGTCGCGCCGGGTGATGACGTCGGCTGTCGCCGGCCAATGTTATTGTTGTGTTTAGATGTATGCTTCAGACACCAGTCACACTGAAGGCATTCCCCATAGCGACCCCTTGAGGACGCAGTGTTCTCTTCTCAGGGAACCATGGTTACATACGTAACCCAAGACGTTTTATGGTTTGACCCAAGTCGCTACCAAGAATTTTATAAGTGTGATCATTTAGAAAAGATTTAGCATTCTGAGTCAGAACAGCCTGAAGGTCTGTGCCAAGTTTGGTGATCATTGCTTGAAAGCTCTAGGATGAGATACTGTAGAAGCATAAATTGTAGATCAGCGTGTTGGCTTGGCAAAGTAATTAGAGTAATAATTGTACAAATAATACTATTTCCAGATATGCAGTCTGGAAGTACTCCAGTACTCCAGTTTTGCGCAACCTGTGCAGCTTTGTATTTTAATTTGTCTAAATTCTTTTAAACTTTAATCCACCAATATGAAAGTTGGATCCTCTAAGTAAACACACACTATAAAAGGCCAGATTTGTCACTGTCAACCCTCTGTGTTCTCCTGTAGCAGAGACGTGCTCCAGTGTGTCGGGGTCTCCGGTCAAGAGCTCGGATCTGGGTAACAGCTCAGTGGGATCCAGCACAGCCACGCTGAGCCCCGTGTCAGAACCTCTGGAGCCGGTCCAGACTCAGCAGCCCTGCTCGCTCAAGGGTTCTCTGTCCTCTGACAACATCTATGGCCCCACCACACACACACCACCCCGACAAGGTGAACACACTCACACGGCTGTAGTCTACAATAGCCTGTCAAGCATATGCTGCTGTACATATTTGCTGTAAATGCGTCTGCCGCTGCCCTAACCAGCCACAGTGCAACAAATATCTAATGTCCACTTGCCTCGTGGAAAGCAAAATGCATCATGTAGTAACACAATCACGGCCAATCACATCATATTTGATAACTGTGATACAATTATGTGAAGCAAGACTTTAATGTTTGGAGCTGTCCTAATCAACACACATAGAAACCAAACCATGTGATTTATTGCTCAATATGCATGCCGCCTGGCTTGGATGCAGTGTGACAGTTATTTATAGTTGATATGCAGAAGACGAAGGTGTCAGAGTTGCCTCTCTGAACAGTGTATCATGTTCTAGATTATCATGTCTTTCTCCTTCTCTGTTTTTTTGTCACGCATATCTCACTCACACGCATGGGATTATTGCCAACTTTCACAGTCTCTCATGTGCGCTCCACTCATTTACTTCGTTTAAATGGAGTCAGCCGGAATGTGACATTTAAACGGCTGCCTAATGGCTCAGTCACACGACATGATTTCATGGACAGCAAAGAAAGTTTAAAGGATTGCATGATGCTCATACTGTCATCATTCTTATGGATCAGTAGACATTTTCACACATTTAGTTATTGCCACAAATATTTCTATTTTGAGGTCATGCGTGAGCAGAAAAGCAATCGATCTTATGTATTTCAAGGAGTTGGGTCATTGCCACAAAATTTCTGTATTTGTCGTGTAATCTTTAATATGAATACTTGGTGCCAGAGATGTGGCACAAACTGCACATACTCTGTTTGTGGTGGTGCTTACGCAGCAACCTAAGTTTGAATCCGGCTCATGTCATTTCATGATTTCATCTTCCGCTATGGTTTCCAGTAACCTCTATGCAAAATCCCCAACAGGAAGGAAGATACTGAAGAAAACCTGCACATGACATCATGTTGGGTCCAAGTTTCACCTTCTAATTTATTGAGTTCTTAAGTAGCCTAATCAGAGCCTGTACTTCAAGCACACTGAGAATATATGTACAGACCTGAAAATTGCAAAATAAATTTAAAGGATTGCATTATGCTTATACTGTGTCTGAACAGGGCAGTAGAACTGTTATATTCAGTATGGTCTCCGTAATCTCAGATGTAAAACCAGAATTAACCAGAGTCTCCTGTTCAAAGGCTAAACTCCAATGTTCCACATTTCCAGCCGGGTTTGCCAAATGCTGCCCGAGCCTGGAAGAGTGACTCCACTCTGATCTGTATCTCCTGAAGGAGAGACACCAGGTCCAAAAACCATATGTGGGACGGCCAAAACAGTGCTGACAGCAGTGATATACTTTGTCCTCTTGTACTCTCATACGAACCGACAGACTTAATGACGGGAAGGCATACAGACCAGTCATCAGCATCACATTTAGCAATTACTCCAAGAGGTTTCGGAGGACAAAGGGAGAACGAAAGGGGGAAAGTGGGTTCTTATTCGACGTGAACAGATCCACTTTTGCCCTGCCCTGCCAAATGACTCCATTTCTGAGGATGCAACATCCATTCTCTAGGCCTCGACCTTCTCATGAAGCACCTTCAGTGCCAGAAGCATGTGCTATGCCAAAATAAGAATGTGCCATGCGAAACTTCCCACGGGGCACAAACGTATTCCCCCTGGTGCTTTATGTAAAAAACTACTGACACTGACATGACGGCTTCAATTGACCTATCGGTAAGCCCCTCCCCTCAAACGCAGATGAGCCAATGGCAGTCGAGTATCAGTTGCACGGGGATCGGAACTCGGACAGCTTTAGGTTTCAGCGCAATAGAGAAACATTGGAAGATCCAAAGCTTTCATCGTTTTGATAGTGTTTATGCTACAAAAATGGAAAACGATGTGCCTAGGGTAATTGTAACACTGATTCCATGTCTCCTGAGAGGATGGGCAATGGAATTTATTTTATTATATTTCCTAAACCCAAACAAAACAGAGCAAAAATGTCCCTAAGCATTCAACCCAATCCCAATGAAGACGAAAACATTCATTTTCTGGTTGTCATACTCTCATTAAGTTACAATTTTCTAACAAACTAAAAACTAACATTAAAGTGAATGAGTCAGTGCTAACGTACAAGTATAAATAGCAAACTGTTCTCACGTCATGTACAGTGTAAGTCAAACACACATAAACGAAGGTCTATATATCAGTGCCTCTCCATATTAAACTGGTTAAATGTTAATTAATTTAATCTTACCCTGCGGTACATGAACAGTGTTGTCATTGCAATCGTAACAACCATAACATGAGACTTCTCCTGTTTGCATTGTGATCTGTATTTTTACATATTTATTTTAAAATATTTTATATATCCCTCCATGGCATATTTAAGTCTCACTCGAATGATGGTCCTTCTGTGTCCAACATTTTTTTTAAAAACATCTTGGGACAACGTTTTCACACTTGACAGCTGTCATTGTAAGACAGTAGAAACTCAACAGTAACCAAGGTGGCAGGGCTTACTGATAGGTCAATTCTCCAGAAGGAAATGGCTCAAAAGTGGCATCATCTCCATTTATGTGCCACATGAGATGATGGCCCTTTTGGACTCGGTAGGCTGGACGTCCTTCATAAACTTTTGTCGTAGGTTTTTGTCATAATTCTTGTGTCAACAGAATCCACCAGAAGGTACCACCAGAGTCAACAACCGGGGATGTTTCCAAGGTAACAGGGTCCAATAGCATTTGGGTTTAACCCTTATTGTGCAGTGAGGATTCCAACAGGGACAAACTCCTCAGCTGTTGACCTACCACCAGAAGGGGAGAAAATTCGAACGCTCGGAAGAAAGCACCATGCTCATAAATAACCCTCTACAGTGAGGGGAGCGATGCTTTAAAAGTGTATCAACAGAGACACACTAGTTGAGTGGAGCCCAAGGCGAGTACCGGGGCCTAAGCCAACTCAGAAAAAGGGAACGAGGCTGACAACGCGTAACCCTTACCATACAGGATTTTAGAAAGTGCACAGAAAGCTTAGCGTGCACACTTACCACCATGTGGATTTTAGAAAGTGTGCAGAGTGCTCAGCGTGCACACTTACCACCATGTGGATTTTAGAAAGTGCACAGAAGCTTAGCGTGTGCACTTACAATAGCATGGATTTTATAGCGATTCCTAAGCATCTGCTCACAGATGCCCAGAAGTACTGAGCCAAACGGGAGTGGCAAGCTCAAAGACAACCCTCTGAGGCGAGGGGAGCGCTGCCTGGCGATAGCATTTTACAAGAAGGGTTCTCGCAGAACGCCACTCATACCTCCCGCTCGATGTCTCGGGGCGAACCTGGATATGGCGTACCAGTCAGGGCAGCCTGAAAAGCATAAGCCCAGCCCGGACGTCCAGGAGAATCGCAGTGCTGTGCCGGGGACCTAACGACCAAGAAGGCTCCTGCAGAAGCCTGTGATCTGGCCACATAATCCAGGAAGCATGAAGCTGAGTGCTGTACCGGGGACCTAATGACCAAGAAGGCTCCCGCAGAAGCCTATGATCGGGTCACATGATCCAGCAAGCATGAAGCCGGAAAAAGGGCTATCATACAGACTGGATACAGCATCGACGAGTGAGGTCATCACTGCAAGTCGAGAACCCGGTTCTGAGTCCAGCAAGAGGGGGTGTTCACCGAGGACCTACCCTAGAAAAGGACAGAAACGCACAGGTCCCAGAAAACACTGCAAAATAGGCTAGCAGGCGGATTCACACAACCACCAGCGCATTATATATATATTTTTCAAAATGGATCATACTCACCCACCATGGTACTCGCGCAGGAGCCCCGTTCAAGAAGCGAAGCCCGAAGAAGCCTCTAGTCCAGACCATCGGTAAGGTTGTTACTATGTGAGACACAGAACCAACCGAAAACATCATAGGTCCAGCATAGGAGACTGCAATGCAGGCGCAGGAGGTTCCTAACTAACCTCGGTCAGGTGGAGATGATGGTGGTTACAGGGGAATTAGGAAGGGGAAGATGAGGGCAGATGTTAAACCCCCCGAGGGAGATGAGTTGATGTTCAGGTATCACCTCCCTCAGGTCTTGCCTACCTCCTTCGTGGAATGGAGGTTTTGAAGGCCGCTGAGCGCGCCTTCGCCTCCCTGAACTTCTCAACCACCGTCTCGACGGAGGTTCCAAAAAGTTCGGAAGGCGAAACCGGAGCATCGAGAAGAAAGCCCCTCTCTTTCTTCCCGATATCTGCCAGGTTCACCCACGGATGTCTATCTGTTACCACCATGGCCGCCATAGATCTGCGTGAGGAAAACGGCGCGAGAGGGAAAGCCCCTCCTTAAACTCATCAGCCAGATCCGCCTGCGATCCCCACGAGCTCATTCTCCTCCGTGCCTCAGCAGCGGTGGGTCCTGAACCGCGGGGAGCAGACGGCTGCCCCTCCTTCCTCGAAAAGAGAGACAGACGAGAGCGGAGCTTTTTCATTGAAAAACTCTCGCAGTGAACACAGATTGCCCCCTCGAGGACATCACGTGCATGCTCTTCGCCCAAACAAAAGACGCAAAAATCATGTGTGTCATCAGGTGTCAAATCAGGTGACACGGATCCACACATCTCCTAAATGTCTTGCTAGTGCTCGCCATAATATGGGAAGAAAGATCGCTCTTACCACCGGAATGCACGCTTCAAACAAAACTCATTGAAGACGAAGAAGAGGATGACATGTTCTCCCGGCGCCTATTTATACTATAGTCGCACCGGTAGTGACGTCATAGGCTGTCGCTGGCCAACATGTTGTTGGTGTTTTTTGGATGCACATAATAGTGAAAGCCATGAGATCGGGGGAGTATAGAATGCCTCTATCTGTTGCAGGCCTTCCCCAAAAAACCTGTCACAAAACATAAGGCCTGATTCAATATAAGTGGCCTAGCATGCACCATGGGGGCAATGCTTTTTGTAAGCACATCATTGTAAACGTATGACTCGAGGAATGACTGCTGTGCTCTGAAGGCATTGTTGCTCAGAACATGAGTGAGGAGCTGTTGATCTATTGGTTTGACAAGATGCAAAACACAGAGAAACTAGCAGAACAGAATCTCGAGGGCACTGAGAAGAAAAGCAATTACGCTTTAGCGGTTTGACACAATTCTCCAAAGAGGGGCCATTTGACCCTAAAGGTCAGGGAAGCCTTAGTTGCCAGCCTCAGATGTGCTTACGTGGCACGAGTGGTCTGTTGAGTAAGGCCATTGACCCCAGTTCTTTTTAGGGGGAGTCCAGACTACCTGGCTGCTTCTTGGCTCCTCTCGAGGTAAATGGCATCATTTACTGAAAAGCAGTAGATTACTTCTTCTTTGCAGCGTGAAACTTAACGAGAGCAGCAATCACTGCATTGGCAAAATGCCCCAACTAAACAACAGGAGCATCCAGCCGACTTCTGTTTCTCATGGATATCTGTGAGGTTGAACCACAGATGTCTCTTGGTCACCACCAACCCTGTCACATAACGACGGATCGTGCGAGCCATATGCTTCTTGACTTAAAGCACTTCAGTTGTTCGGCTGAGCTCTTCATCTCGGGAGTCAAGCAAGTAATTTCGTCCATATCCTTAAGAACATCAGCTTGCTACGCCTGCAATACCACCATTGTATGCAATGCCACACCCACCAGCCATATTATTGTTAACATATTATTGATAACACTTTACTAAGGACTTTCTTGAGCAGTGAAGTGACAGGAAAAAATTTAATAATACAATTAAATATTTGCACCAGAAGACATGGATAATTTGGAATAGTCTTCAATGCTATCATAATGGTGTAGTTACAAGTAAAATCTGCTAATCTTCTTGGAGTTGAATGGTTAATATGGCAGTTTTACAGTTCTTTAACCATAAATGGGTTTCATGTGTGGAAGTGTCTAGTGATGCATAAGAGGACTGTGACCTGTTATATAGATTCCAGAAAAGTGTTCCCATTGTTAGAAACACACAGGCACAAGTACACATCTACATTAACCGCTGTTTTCTGAGACGCTTAACCAGTGTTGTGGTGTGTTGCTGATATGATGCTTGTTGATGGGGTACTGATCTGATCGCTGCCTGTGTCGGCTGTTACACCTGTCTCTCTCTTTCTCTCTCTCTCCCTCTTATATTCATTTCTCCACAGGCTGGACCGTTTACCACCAAACATCTGAGCGAATCACCTATAAATCTAGTAGCAAACCACGCACTAGATTCCTCAGTGGACCCGTGTCTATGTCCATCTGTTTGTATTTGTTCTACTTTTCTTCTATTACCCATAATTCCCTTTTCCCTGTTTCTTTCTGCTCTTCTTTCGTGATTTGTTTTGGTTTTTCTGTACTGCATTTCTGTCATATTCACTTCCAATATTCATCCACACACTCATTCAGTGATCATCAGGCATTCTCAGCCATTACATTTCCATCTTCATTTCAGATGGCACTTTCCATGAATAAGGTACAAAATAGGGTCTGATACTTAAAAAAGCAGCACTTATTCAGTGAAGGGGGGTGCGTAATGTTCCGTAAAATGGTATTTGTCAACCTCATGAGGTCAAAGTAAATGTTAACAGTCTACAGTTCAAATGCAGCTTAAAAAATATAATAAATATGAAATAAAATACATCAAATCAAATCATAGGTAGCAGGGTTGCAGACTTCTTCAATCCTAAGTGAAGCCGTTACTCAGTAGGGTGCAAAACTCCTAGTTTGGGAGCAAATTTTGGCTTGTAGTTTTTGCTGAACTTATATTTACTTTAAATTTAAAGAAAATATTTGTTTGATCATTTATTCTTTCAAAATTGAATGGTTAAGCTTGACAAATGCAGTCAAAACTACAAAAGAAAATGAATTATTTACCTCGCTGTCCTCCGTACTGTATGTAGAAAGGTCTAAATGATTACAAAATGGTTAGATAATAGTTCATCCTATATATCCAGACGTTCTCATGAAAAAGACTTTGAGATTTGTGCATCTACACCAAAGTGTATCGTGTTCGTGGAAAGAGCTGGATGTCTGCTCATCTGGCCTTCAGTTTGTCTTCTGTACAAGCGCTTTGTGCTGGGCTGTAGCTTTGACCGATAACATGAGCTGTCTTTCCTCAAACATGGCCATTCTTAACATTTAACTGATAGCAGAGAGAGTGTGTATGGATGTCTGCCAAAGCTTTTCTATCGTCTGTATATCTGTGCCTTCTTTCCTTTTCATTCCACGTAAAATCCCAATGAGACGATGGTTGAGGTGCGGTGTCATGTTTGGAGTCAGAAGACGAGCATGCCAAGGGCACAAGCAGGTTGCTGTGAAGAACATCAGGGCTGTATTTTGAATTTTTTATCTCTGTCACCTGCATGATTATAATATGATGCTGTCCAAGAAGCATATTATATTTACCTTGTGTTTCTGTTACGGCTTGTAGTATTTTGTTCGTCTAGGTGAGAGTTCATTTTGGAGAAAACATGAATTTGCCCACCAGTGCGTCATAGCTATGAATAGGAAGCTCATTTCTTTTTATACTTGGTCTCCGTCTTTGTCAAAAATTATATGATTTGGTCAGTATTCTAACCTTCACTGTGTGAAAAATTATTTTTCCCCCCTTTGTAATTTAAAATGTAGCATACAGCACTTTAGTTTATTCATGTTTCAATAGTTTACTTTATATGCTTCAATTTTGTTTTATTTACGGTTTTCCTGTTTAAATGTTATTTGTACAGTATGACATTTTAAAGCTTGACAGAAATTCTGTCTACAATAGTCACTTGTAAGCAGTGCCGATCCTAGACTTCTGGGGGCCCTAAGCAAAACTTTGTCGGGGCCCCAAAATGCTCCCCAGCCCCTTAACCTATTCTTTCAGAGCAGTTTCACTGTCAAAACAACAGTGAATTAAAAAAAGTAGAAATTAAATGAAAGTGAATAAAAAAAAAAGAACAAATATACAAATAAAATAAACAATTTAGCCTATAATAGCCTACTATACAGAAATTGATTAAAGTAATCAAATGTAAAAATAAAGCACTGCATAGACTTCACCATATAAATTAAATTGATTCATAACAAAGTTATGAACAATATTCAGTGAAGAGCAATGATTAATTCTGTCCTTGTGTTATTTGATTAACAGATGATGACAAACAGCGGCAGGTTTATACAGTAGGATGCTGTCACGCTATGCACAGATCTAATATACTGACTAGCATTCGATTAGGCTACTTTTCTAACCGTTTATGTTCACTTAAGATGTAACTGACTGTGTTTAGGGAAAACTCACCAAGACTGATATTTTGACATGAAATCTAAATTAGAATGTTGTGGATTTTAGTCCATGTCTATTAACTCATCTGCCCCATATGGTTTATTGTCCAGTAAAAGGCTCACAAAAGTAAGAATGTCCCTTATTATAAATACTCCCTCTATCTAATGCTACAACAGAAGCAAATGAATGGACAGCTGTTATTAGAGGTGATAACCATGAGCTTTACCCTCGAATCTTGACTCAAAATAGAATAGCTAATGATGGTGGTTTGAGGTCCTCCAGAGATGAATGTAAAGAGTCTACACTGCTTTCATCCATGCTACAAGCAGTCATGTGTGAATTCTGCTGTCTTCAGTTTGTCCCAAACTAACATCCTGTTTCAATAGAGAATAGGCCAGGAAAGAACAGACAATCATGCTTGTCAAACCATTTTATAAAGTAGGACATTTAGTCAAACAAGAGTGTTGAAGTTCATTCAGAGTTCAAGCTTGAAGGTTGTCTGTACTAAAGGCCTTTTTAGCTCATAAGCCATTCAAACACATCACTCACCAACACCTCATGATATCACAGATGAAGCCTCCCTGCACCTGATTCTGTATCTGTTCACTGATTGGTCGCTGTGTTTTCTTGTGCAGCAGCTTGTCCAATGGGCTGTGCCATGTGCTTTCCCCGCCCCTTAACACCTTTGTCTGTGCTGTTTTGCTCTTGTAGGGTCCACTGTGAAACGGCTATGTCTAGGGAAAGAGCGCAGCAGTAGTAACTATCCCACTCCTTTCTTCTTCAGTCCTAGTCCCTCTGTCTACCTTTTTTCTTTTTTCTTTGCCATTTTCATTTCTTTTGTTGGCATGAGCGATCACCTGTGTGATAAGTGCTTAATGTTTGCAACAGCAGGTTGCGAAATGTGCGTAACCGTTTTGATTCTTTATATTAATTAGATTTTTTTTTCTAGTGCATGGTGATATCTGTGCGATACAGTCAAGTGCTTATTGAAACCTTTATGATTTCTGTATTCCTGGTCATTTAAGTGCATATGTGTATGGGTGTTTGTTTTTTGTTTGGTTCTGTAATCATCCAGCTGCTTGATTTTAGGCTAGAAACAAGTACTCAACAAGAAACGCGCAGATACGATCAGATCCACCATCACATTTCAAGCACACCCGATGTGCATACTCGGTTTTTGTTCTTGCATTACTGTGCTGGAACAAACCTCAAACTTGCAAATCTAGCTTCATGAATAATGCATGTTGACAGTTTAACTTAAACTAACATGCTCGGCAAGACTGCATTTTGTACATTATGCCCAGGCCACAAAATTTTGCTGAATTGTAATGCCATTCAAACACCAAGCTATTTTGTAAACAATTTCTTTGTAATTTCTCAAAAGGTGACACAGCCACATATTCAACCTTACATCTGGCATGAGCATGTTCGATTGTCTCTCCAGTCACAATTGTTTTTAGTGTATTGTTGAAACTAACTATGAATCGTGTCAAATAATCAAATCTATTTGCACCCCAAGTATGAATAGTGCATAATTTATTAGAAATTGTTATTAAATCATTGTCAAACCAAATGTTTAGACTTCTAATAATGGATCTATTCATTAGGGCTTGTTTTGTATTAACCGTGATTTTAACCACACTTCACTGCGTAACGTAATGAATGACATCAACAGTCTGTGAGCAGCAGATTGGTTACAGAGGACCTCAGGGTGAATTCTCTGAGTTTTTGCTTGAGGTCTTTCTCAATCTCTTTCTCAGGGTCTCATAGTACTGGTGCCGCCCATGTGACTTCAGCATCCAATCAGAACCTGCCTCCCGCAGCTATGCCTGCTTCATCCTCTCGGCCGATCACGGTGCTTGTTCAGGCTCAAGCAAACAACAGCAACAACAAAAGCGGTACATTCACCGATGACCTACACAAGCTGGTTGATGATTGGGCAAAAGAAACTCTTGCCTCTGCCCCTCAGCTCCGCCCCTCTGTGTGTCAGAGTAGACCGCCGAGATCTCATCAGTCCTTCCAGACCAACCCCACTCCAATGTCCAGAATCCCCAATCAGGTACTTTATTAGGTTTGTCCTTCAGAACCTTAAAGGGATAGTTCACCTTCAGTTGCTAGTCCTCATTGATTTGCATAGTGTTTTTTCCCATACTATGGAAGTCAGTGGGGACCAGCAACTGAAGGTGAACTTTGCCTTTAACAAATGACAGAAAATTTTTGAGTGAGTACATACAATCTGGTTTACATAATTTGTTCTTACATCATGTTTGTAAAAAAGAATGTCTGACTAATATATTGCATTTGTGGGTGCTGATGCATGTTTGGAGCTTGTTGCTGCAATAAACAGTGTTGTTGGGTAGAGCTTGAACTTGTCAGCTAACTAGCGTTCAACATAAACAGCAGCACATACTGACATTTGTGGGAATCACCCATCAATTACTCTCATCTGACCTACAGTAACATCTCAGGTTACGCATGTAACCATGGTTCCCTAAGAAGGCGAATGAAACACTGCGTCCCTTTAGAAGATCGCTATGGAGAATGTATAAAAGGTGTAATAGGGCACTTGAAGAACACATCATCATGTCTTCTTTGTCTTCAGGAGACCATTTGTTTGTGCATGTGCAAAGAATGTGACTACTATAAAACACCCAGGCAAGTGTTTTTAGAGAGTGTGTACCTCCATGTCAGAGGTTATTTGACACCTTAGGACAAACACGACTCAAATGTGTTTATGCGTTTGGGTGAGGAGCACGCATGTTCAGTTCTCGAGCAAGCTAAATGCACTCTGTGCATGTATGCAATCAAAAAGCTGGATGTACTTTTTTATGCATTCATGGGACTGACTAAAAGAGATTGTAAGAAGCTCTGTTCTTCTTTGATTCTCACCAGAGGAAAAGTAGTCAGCATTGTATGAGCATGTTCGGCTCTCGAGGGAGTTGAACAAACGATGCACTCTTGCACCTATTTCCTGCTGTTCGTGTCCCACTGCCATCAGAGTGGCTAGACGCGATCGATCACGGGGATTGTAGGAGGAGCATGGAAGGATCTGATGGAAAGTGCATTATTTTCCAAATTCCTCCTGTTGTTTCTAATTATGTGGCACTGAGTAAACAGAATAATGTGGAACATCTAATTCAAAGGTTTTAGATGCAGTGAGAGTTGGGGCATATATTATTGATAAATCTGCCCCTCCGCTGTTGTTAGGCGCTATGTGTGTCTCCTTGATAGCTATTCTGGACTAGGACATAATAAGGCTTTACAGAGTCATCTTGTTGAGGCCTCTGTCCTTGGAGCTTGAATTAGGGTTGTGTCAGGTTGTTAGGCTCTCTTGGGCCTCCCTGGTTACTGCCTTTAATTAAGAGCCTCCTCCCGCTATGAGAGTCATCTCTTTTGAGGCCTCTGATCCTTAGAGCTCCACATGCTGTCCACTGTGTTGACCATGGTTAAGCTTCCTCTTGCTTTAGAGAGTTGTCATACTGAGGCTTCTGTTCTTAGAGCTCGGTTAGGCCGTGGTACTGAGTTGCAGGCTCTTTGTGAGCCTCCTTGGTACTCCTGGCTTAGGAGCATTTGTTAGGCCTCCTTTCACTATAGAAAGTCATCCTGCTAAGGCCTCCATTCCCCTGAGCTCCGCCTGGTTGCTAGGCCCTTTCTTAGGCCTACTTGACAGCCATAGGATGTAGCTAGGCCACCTCTCGCTGGAGAGTTATGCTTGGCCTCTGTCCCTGTGAGCCCAGGTAGGGGCTAAGTTGCTAGACTCTCTGTGAGCCTCCTTGGCTGCTGCCTTTTTAAGAGGAATGTTATTCCTCCTATTGCTATAGAAAGTTGTCCTGTTGAAACCTCTGTTTCCTAGATCTCCGCTGGGATAAGAGTTCTGAGTTGTTAGGGTCTCTGTGATTCTCCTTGGGATGTTCCATGTGTGGGATGTAGTTAGGCCTCCTGCTTTAGAGAGTCTTTATGCAGAGCCTCTGACTTAGAGCTCGGTCAGACAGTAGTGCCAAGTTGTTAGGCTGTCTGTGAGCCTCCTTGGCTACTGCCTTTTAAGAGGAACGTTCCTCCTCCTCTTGCTATAGAAAGTTTCCCAGATCTCCACTGTGATAAGAGTTCTGAGTTATTAGGGTCTCAGTGAGTCTCCTTGGGAAGTTGTCCAGTGTGTAGGGTGTAGTTTGGCCTCTCGCTTCAGAGAGTCTTCATGCAGAGCCTCCGTCCTTAGAGCTCAACCAGACAGTAGTGCCAAGTTGTTAGGCTCTCTGTGAGCCTTACTTGGGAGTAGGGATATGCCGGTATCAAACTTTCATGTTGCGATTAATTACTAATGCTTTTATCACAGTATACGGTATTATCACGGTATTGAAACAGGGTTTAAGACTGCATTTAAATTAATTATTATTATTATTATTATTTCTGCAGTTTAGCGCCATCTGCTGTCAGAGAGTGAAAGTGCGCTTTCATCCAGAGCGTCTCTCACATGTTCTGCCATGTGCTTCTCGTCCGCGCTTATTTACATCAGTGTGCACGTGTCTTTCACGCAGCATACAGCGGTGTTGTGCATTTTAACCAGTTGATGGGAAAAGTATTCTTAAAATGCATTCAAAATTCTGAATAACTTGTAATATATAATTACTCACGGTATTTAGAAGAGCCCACGATAACAATATCGTGCATATTCATTACCGTGATATAGCGCATTACCGAATACCGGCACAAGTCTACTTGGGAGAGGAGAGTTGTTAGTTAGGCTTTGCTTAGAGAGTCTTTTGGCTGAGGTCACTCCTCAAAGCTCCACCTGGACAGCAGTATCAAGTTGTTAGGCTCTCTGTGAGCCTCCTTGATAGCTATTCTTAGTGTAGGGCAAATGTGGACCTCCTCTTGCTTTAGATAATCTTTATGTTGAGGCCTCGGTCCTTAGAGCTTATTTAGGGAGTAGTGTTAGGCTACTGGTGAGCCTCCTTGGTTACTGTCTTTAATTCAAAGAGCGCTGCTCTTCTTAGATCTCTTCTCGCTGTAGAGAGTCATCCTTTTTGGCCTCCGCTCCCCAGAACTCCGCTTGAGTAGCAATTCTAAGTTGTTAGGCTGTCTGTGAGCCTCCTTGGAAGCGGTCTTGATTGTTGAATGTAGTTAGGCCTCCTTTGGAGAGTTGTCATGCTGAGGGATTCTCAGAGCTCCAGTCAATGACTATATTGCCTTAAAGGTTTTCTCTGACAGCTGAACCCTTGAGCTCTGCCCACGGGCTAAATTTCTTTTTTAACTTGGTACTGCAAAGAGGAGAGGAAGGGTGCATTCTGGGACTTTCTCTGATAGGGTTTGTAGCTCGGATTTTGGCCATAAGGAATTAAGTCACTGGTCACTGGTGTGTACCTTAGGGATTGGGACTTCAATGTCAGCCATTTAGGCAGTCTGTCCCTTCAGAGTGGGTATTTGTTCCCCATTGCGATCCTCTAAAGAGATTTGAAAGGGAAAGTCTCATGTTACGCATGTAACTGTTGCCATCTTCAGGTATTCATGCTCGTCTCCTTCAGACAAGAAGTGGATGGCATGTCCTACAGATGCCCTTTTATACTGACGGTTACACTGGTAGTGACATCATAGGCTGTCACCGACCAATGTCATGTTCATTGTTGTGTTTTGACACATGCTTCAAACACTGGTCATGCTGGAGGTGTTTCCCATACAATCCCCTAAAAGGGATGTAGTGTGAGTTCCCATTCAAAAGGGATTTCAAAAGGCAAAAGGCAATTTCATGTTTTAACCACAGATTGTGATAGAGAGGCTAAAGTTTTGTAGTGCAGCTTTAAATCGAATGAATCTCAATGAAACCATTTACGTTGTTTATACATTGTGAAACGATTCACGAGTGTGCAAAGCTCATGCTAAATATTGTATTGTCATATCTGGAATATTAAGTGGATACTGACTTAAAAGCCTCTGATTGGCCATTTGTATTTGCACGCTCAAACAGGTCTGTGATTGGCTACAATGCTCAATGCCGCAAAATAAACATTTAACACTCTTCATAGAGTGTGTGCACACATACAGGAATGTTTAAAAGCTATCACTGGGTACCGGATCCACTCGGTACTCTGTGTCATTGGCTGGTGTCGTTACGTTTTTAAAATTTAAGTAACTTGGTACTAAACTACTGCTACTTTTGACAACACTAATAACAAGTGTCTTAAGCCAGCTGTACACTGTACACCATTTTTGATGTCTTTGGGATTGTTATGTCCGACTTAAACAATATGAGTGAGATATTGTGTAAAGCCCAGGTGTGCAAAATCAGTGGCCTTGTGGTAGGGGTGTGCGATATATATCGTCTGCGATAATAATTGTGGTTTTAATGATGTGCGATTTGACATTATTGAGTATATCGCAAAAAAGTCAAACAAAACACACCTACAGAGTGCATACATACATTATATGATGAAGTCTAGTAGGTTAGACTATTCAAATGCATTTTGAATGATCACAAAATTCAAGATATGGGGGCAGAAAACTTACATATTCATATAATTTCACATAGTTAATCAATATCACATGCAGAGTACTGTTTTTTTTCTCCAAAAATCAGCATGATTACAAATGTGATATTGATTTTATACAACAGTTCAATAAACATTATTAATAAACATTACTTACCATATTGCCTGTTTTTGCTCTATTTCGGCAGCAAAATTAATTCCAAATACAACACTTTTTTTTTGTTTTTGCGTCTCTGAGCAACATGACGGTGTTTCGTTCCTGAATGAATCAATCATTTAAATGATTCAGTTCAATCGCAATGACTCGCTTATTAACAGTGA